CATTCCTGCCCAAAAACAGCCCTGCCTTGAATAAACCTTTGTTGGTCTTAAAGGTGCCATTGGACTCTGAATTTGTTAAAATAAATACAGATATGGGTCTGCTGAAGGGTGGGGTGGGCATGAGAGGGGTTTATAAAACAGAGACATGATGTGAAGTGGAGGGAGGGAAGCTTTCCTTCCCTCCTTGGGGGTTTCTCCGGGCCGTGTAACTGCCCACTGCTGGGAATGGCATGCTGGGGGAGAGGGACCGTGGGTCTGGTGGGGTTGCCAGGTATGGGTTGGGAGCCTGGGGAGGGTGGGATTCCGGGGCTGAGAGGGACCTTGGCAGAATACAAGGCCATGAAGCCCACCCTCTGCAGCTGCCATTTTCTCTAGGCTAGCTGACCATGCTCGTCTGGAGAGCAGCTGTCATGGCAGCGGATCTCCAGGCCCCAACTGGAGGTTGGCAACCCTGCCAGTGGGGCCCTTCTGCTACCCGGAGGTAGGCCGAGTCCTCCCGGTTTGAGGGCCTTTCTCGATTCCTCCGCTCTTCCTGGCCTATCCATGTCACGCTGTTTTCTTTTTTTCATTGGTTGCTTGCCGCTCTGGTTACTGCATATGACAATCGCGACTAATCTATACCGTTGTGGCTGGTGCAGAAGGCCCATCATGCCCCACGGGAGTGCCAGGGCTGGCTGGATGGTGGGGGAGGGGCAAAAGGGATGTAGGATGCCCCAATTGGGGTCTGAAAGGGAAAAGCCAGAGGAGGAAGGGGGCTTTGGGGGGGGGGGTACAGGTGGCCTGGCCAAACGTGCCTCAGTCGATCAGTAACTGATTACAGTCACAGACCAGCAGAATAAAATGTACATTAACAGAGAGGTTATAAGAATATACAGTCTTCCGTTGTAGACAGACAGACAGATAGCAAATACGTGTCACTGAATCAACACTAGGTCGCTAAACTTTTTATGTCGGGATCAGAGCGAGTTATGTAAATGCAGGGCTTTTTTTGTAGAAAAAGCCCAGCAGGAACTCATTAGCATACTAGGCCACACCCAACAGCAGAAACTCATTAGCATATCAGGGAGCCTGGGCAAGCCGGCCCTTGGACAGGCTGGGGAAGGCACGGAGAGGCATTTAAATGCCTCCCCGAACCTTCCAGGGTCTCCCCTGGCCTGCCCGCCTTCCAACGGGGGGGGGGGGTTTGCTCTCCAGGCCTTCCCTCGGTAGCCACGCACACAGAGGTTTTGGCTGTGGTGGGCGTGGCCAACTCTGAAGCCAGCCGGAACTCCGTTCCTGTGCGTTCCTGCCCCAAAATAGCCCTGTTAAATGAATATAATGGTTGTCCTGAATTTAAATTGCATGCACCCCTGTGTTCAGACGGGAACAAGGACTGGTCTCGCGGCAATGTTGCCGTTCTAGTGAGAGAGGGCCCTCAGCTCCTTTTCCCTCCTGTGTGCCGAGTCTTACTTGTGACCCTGTCTTTCTTCCTGCCTCCCCCGCCCG